GCAGGAGGCTCACAAGCGTACACCCAGCCTCGGCAGTTTAGTGACTAGGTACAATTTGTGTCAAGATAGAACATTTCGGGGGCTGGGGAGATGGCTCAGTAGAATAATCGCTTGCCTGGCAGGAGTACGGGCCTGAGTTCAATCCCCCGTTCTGCCAAGCGGCTGCTGTCACAGTAATTCTCACGCAAACAACTCAAATATTTTGCTATGAGGTGAAGACATTATCACGGCAAGAAATCTTCCCATCCCTACTACTGGATGAAGTTTTCTGAAACATCAGGAATAGGAGAAGGTTTCTCCCACCTTTCAGCTGAGTGCAGTTCTGGGATCCCCTTGGGAAGCCCGATACGGGCCGCCGAATACTGCCAGCGTCCTCGCTGTGGGTCAGGATGTCTGCTCATCCTGGCTGGGCCTTCCAGTAGGTACCGAGTCACGTTTGCCACTACGCTGCCTGGCATTTATACATCTACAGTCTCCGCCAGACAGGTCTAGAATGTTCTTGGCTGTTGTATATTTTTCAAACATGAGCATCAAGATTATTCTGTCTTTGCAAAATGAACTGATGGCGAATTGTCTTTTATAATGTTCTGAAGAAATTCATATAGTATGGTGTTTACTCACTGCAAGTTAAAAAGTGCGCAGGTATAAAACTGTCTCAATACAGAGACAATGTGGGGGAGAATTATGGTCATTATTCTTTTTTAATTTTCCACTCTCATTTGCTTCAATTTTATTCTTCTAAATTTTCCCCGAACACTTCATTTCCCTGAGAAAGTACGCTGCGTCCGCGTGCACCCCACTCGGGCGCCCTTCACAGAGGTCCTCCGCGGAACAACCCTGCCTGCTGGTGGCTTTGCAGCTGCTCCACGCAACCCTCTCGGAGGGTGAGGCAGCGCCCTAGGCCTGGCGCTAGGAGTGGGACGCCGCTTCCCCCCTACGGCCCGCCCCAGGCTGGAACCCAGGTGTCGCAGATGGCATTTCTTCTGTGTGGACACTGGCCCCAGGCCCCAAGGGAAGCCAGCCCCATCTCCGAACGCCCCGTCACTCAGCAGTCATCCTGCCAAGTTCTGGAGGCTGGCCCACTCGCTGAGTTTTCCTCCTTAATGTGGGTTCGCATTTTCACTATTACTTTTGCCATGGCTTGACTTATTAGCTTGCTTCTTATTTCTTCAAGTTTAATTTTTTTTAACAAATACTTTTTGTTTTCCTATATTTAAAAAAAACTTTCACTATTCATTCTTAAACTTCTTAAATAAATTAGTAGCTAATATTTTCTCTCTTCGTGAATTATGAGAAACATAAAATGTAATTTGGGCTCTGAATTTATTTTTTCATCTGCAAGGTCTGATGTTGGTGTTTCCACTTTTTGAAAAATTGTCTAATGAGTATAATTTTGGTTTAGGAGTTACCACAGAAATTGGGAAATAAAATCATGCTGATTAGATGGTTTAGAAAAATGAGAACATCAGAATCCAGTCTTGTAGATGTAACCAAAAATGTTAATTTATAAATGTTTGGAGGTTTCCTTTTTAAATGTACTTTATTTAAAATTTATTTTAAAAATCTTTTATTTGTTCATTTGGTACAGGGTCTCACTACACGACTCGGATTCCGATCCTCCTGTCTTAGCCTCCCTAGAGCTGGACTATAGGCATGCACCGCCGCGCTCAGTTTCCGCAGCACTGTGCTGTTTCTGTGCTGGCCATGATGCGCCCAGGGTTCTGAGGCTGGCGCAGCATGCGGTACCCCGGATCGAACCCAGGTCCTTGTGCTTGCGGGGCAGTTGCTTACACTGCCGAGCTATCTCCCGAGCCCCTAAGCTTACTTTTAATTTTTTAGCTTTGTATTATGACCAATAAGATGTATTGTGCAATTTCTATATTTAGAAATGTGTTGAATAACTTTTCGTGATATAACCCAAGGTCAACTTTATAATTTCTCACAGTACTTAATGATATAGCCACATTCTCTACAGGCGGGCTGACACAGGCCTGTAATCCCGGCTGCTTGGCTGAGGCAGGAGCATTCAGAGCTCAAGGCCAGCCTGGGCAGCTCAGGGAGACCCTGTCTCTAAAAACAGGAAGAGGCCTGGGGATGTAGTTCAGTATAGAGTACCCTGGGTTTGATGCCCAGTCTCACAATTAAATAAAATAAGTGCAATAAAATAATAAAAGAAAATGTCCATATTCATTGGCCCATGTCTCCAATTGCCTCTACTTACGCCCTTTCAACTACATGGAAGGCTCAGTAGCTGATGCCTGCCCACTCCTCCCGTGTTTCTGTCAACATCTGCCTTACATGTTTCAGTTGTTTTGTGCATCGGCATGGGGCTCTCAGAAGCTGTCGCATCTCTGTTGCGCAGTCTATCCCCTGAATGACTTCCTTTCCACGTTTAGCAGTCGCCTCCTCGAATCCATTTTGTCTGAAACAACACTGCATGCTCAGCATGCCTTGTGTGCGTTCATGTTGCATCTATTTATTTTTACACTTTATAAAGCTATATCTTATTAATGACTTTGCTCATTAGCAGGAAAGTCTTCTAATTCACAGCTGAGGATGAAAGACACAGATACCCGGTGTCACTGAAGAAGGAGCCCCAAGACCCTGAGGACCCATGAAAGGCTGCAGGCAGGGACTGAACACGCGGCTGGTTTGCCCCAAGCATCACACCGAAGGGCACAAGGTTGGCTGGACATTTCTACACATGCAGACTGCCTTGTAGGAAAGCCCAGAAGCACAGGCAACAGAGAAAAGCTCCACTCTTACTAAACCGTGGTTTTGGTGATCGTGGAAAACAGCCAGAACTGGTGGCGCACACCTGGAGTCCCAGTGCTCTGGCAGGATGAGCCAGGAAGATCTCAAATTCAAGCCCAGTCTGGGCAGTTTAGCAATTTAGAAAGTCCCTGTCTCAAAATAAATAAGGGCTAGGGGTGTAGCTCAGTGCAAAGGCTGTAGGTGCGATCCCCAGAAAACAGGAAAGCAGTTGAGGAGCAGCCTTTCCAGGGGTTGTGGATTTTCAAAACACCGGTGACACTTCACAGTGAAGAATTCAGGCTCTTTACATTTTGCATTCAGCTTTAATCAGAAAATACAGAGTATAACAAAAAGGGGTAACACAACTTTAAAAAAATACAGGTTGTAACCAAAAGGACTGACACATCTTATTGTGTCAGGGAGATGCTTGGAGAAGCTGATCTCTGGTCAGACCTTAGCACATGGCCCACACTGTAGGCATTAGGCACCTACTCCATGCCCAGGGCTGTTTCAAAATGTACGCATTCATTTTAATGGCCCAAAATTGTGGCATTACACCTCAAAATGATCATTGTGAGTTAGGGAGAAATGTTGACTGACCTATAAAGATGTTCAACAATAAAATGAAACCGAGATGCTTATGATGCTACTCTTAATCCATTCCACTGTGTTTGCGAGTCCCTTGAGAATCACACTTACTAGCGTCCTATGAACACCAGGGGCTGGGGAGCTGTCGGAAAGCAGCAGCCAGTGCGAGGACCACGCTGCCACAACCTGGCCTCCAAGCGACTGCAGCCATGGGGGCCTTGGCAGAACATTCCCAAACCCACATTTATTTATTTATTCATTTTTTTATGTATTTAAAGTACAGGGTCTCACTATGCAGCTCTGACTCAGTGATCCTCCTGTTTCCAGCCTCCCCAGCGCTGGGATTACAGGGGTGTGCCACCACGCCCAGACTCAGTTGCTGGCTCAGTGCACCCTGGGGCAGAGCCGGCACAGCATGCGGGACTTGAGACCAAACCCTGGTCCCTGTGCTTGCCTGAGCAGATGCTTAATCCAGGCCAACCCACATTTAGTACAACAACCTGCAGCAGGATTTCAAAATACCAGTTTATGGAGAAACAAGAAGGGATTAGAAATGTTCATGCTGTACATCCCTTCATAAATTTTAACCATTTCTTCTTCTTGTCATCATATTACTTTTTCTTCTTAACCTCAAGGATGGAAGCTTTTGTCTCTTTTTCAAAAGTATTCAGTGCAAAAAGTCCAGGGCTTCTACTTGGGAGCCCCTCCCGGGGCTGGGCTCCTCTGCTCCCCTCACTCAGCTGCCCGGGCCCCTTCCCTGTATTTTCCTCATGCCTGGCTGGTGCACGGTTTTGCCACCTGTGGCAGGCATTGTTGTTGTTCATCTATGCCGTCTTAGAGGTGGCTGCCGCTGGCCTCTCTGCCACCTGCTAGGGATGCCTGTGGGATCTGATTCCTGAGCCAGAGCTATTTTCTGCCTCAGCTTTTCTGGGAAAGCTCATTCCCTTGGGGACTCTGCTGTCCCAGAGTGGGGCCCAGGGCACAGGCGCCCGGGCTGCACTGTGCAGCCTTCTAAGATGCTCGTCCTGGAGTCTGTCACCTCCAGAGCAGACCACAGTCATGGAGGGCATCCTGCATCAGCGGCAGGAGTCACTGTAAGTTTTCTTTGCATGTTTGATTTTTCTGGGAAGAGGGAAATGACCACATACTCATCTTTTAGAAGCGTCCCATCCCTTATACATCACGAAGAGCTTGTGTACATGGCCTGTTCTCCTCTGAATTATCTTTTTCCTTTTGAAATGTACAAATACTAAACCCACAGATAGAAATTTAAGTCAACAATTGTGAGTTTTTCCCCATAATATGACCATTAGCATAGGTATGAAAGAGTACACAACTAATACAATAAATTTCTAAAGGTTCTTAATTTTTACCTAGATAAATTATTAAACAGGCCTCAGAAGAAATTTCAGTAGTTTTAAAACTAAAAGTCATCAATGATTTCAGTCTACCATATTTTAGGAAGGTTTCATCAGTGAATTATTTTAAAGCTTCAACAACTAATCATTTTTAGTTATTCAGAACATTTTGTATTCCAAAACAATCATTACAGATAAAAGAAGAACTGAAAGATGTTGCGGCTTGCTTAAAAGTGGTACTGACCAGTAGCTTATGAAAGGCAGGAATGAGACCCGACGTAAACCACAATAGGTGCTCACCCTGACTGGAGGCTGGGACCAGGAGCTGAGCCGCGCGCGGGCAGCCGCTTGGCCACGCAGCCTGCCAGTGCCTCTGCCCGGATTCGGAGCCGTGGGCAGGCAGAGCACGGCGAAGCTTCCCTGGACTTTCAATCGCTCGCTCGCTCGCTCGCACGCACGTGGGTCAAAGCACAAGCGCAAAGGGGCGCCAGGCCGCACAGTGTTCTGCTGGCGAGAAACCCAAATGCTTCACCAAAGGTGCTGAGACACCCGGCACCTATAAAGTGTGGTTGCGGAAGCTAAAAACGCAAGACATTCATACAACAGCTGGTTGTCTCTGCTAGTGAGGCAAAGGTGAAGCAGAAAGCTACAAATTTGCTGAAACGCTCCTGGCCAGACTTTCTATCTGACCGTCAGCCCCCACAGCGATGGTCCCCAGCAGGCTAGGTTGGCACACGCCAGGCCTTGTCAGATACACTTTGTCACCTGGGACACAGGACAGCAGCCCTCCAAAAAGCATTACTGCAGTTGTGCTTTAAAACAAACACACCAAATTTCATATTCCAGTGGGGTGCTGCCCCTCACACCATCACACTGGGTTCTTGGGCATTTTTAATCTTATGATGCTATCACTGCTTAAAATACCAAGTACTGCTGGGTATGGTGGCACAGCCCTGTAATCTCAGTACTCGGAGGCTGAGGCAGGAGAATTGTCATGAGTTCAAGATCAGCCCGGGGCTGGTGAGATGGCTCAGTGGTCTAAAGCACCTACTTAGAACAAGCTTAGCAAAGCACAGGGACCGCGGTTCAATCCCCCAGCACCACATGCCAGCCAGCCCCGCCCCCTGGTGGGTTGAGCTGGCCACACACACACACACAAAAAAAATAAATAAATAAAATAAATGAATTAAAAAAAAAATCAGCCCGGGTCTAGCAGTGAGCTCAAGAACAGCTTGAATGACATGGTCAGACCCTGCTCAGAAAGCAAGCAAACCAAACGCCTAAAACTACGCACTTAAAACAGTCTGCCTCAGACACATTGCGGCATTCTCCTGGATATTCTCAAGACAAGAAATCTTTGTCCTTCAAGAATACAGTTGCTATGTGCAAGGAGGTGAACTTCCATTATCACGGTGTTCTGAAATTAGCAGTAAGGTTGGATGAAAGATTTTATTTTATTTTATTTTTGTGGAACGGGGGATTGAACTCAGGCCCTTGCACTTGCCAGGCAAGCGCTTATTCTACTGAGCCAACTCCCCAGCCCCCCGAAAGTTTTTATTTAAAAAATTTAACAACAGTTCTTTATATGAAATTTGCCCTGAATTCAGAAGCAACATGTTTAAGATGCTTAAGGTTTTACATCCATTACGAATCAACCTGTTTACTTTATAACTTCCATTCTTCTGGGTATTTTTAACTCAACATGTGAACCCGCTACGTGCCCGCTATTACGGGGAGCACACCTTGCCCCTGCTCTCCCACAGGCTTAGAAGGGAAGACTGGCAACTCATACTCACCACTTTAACCAAGTGGGAAAGGGAAGATGCGCTTGGGAGGGGCGCGGTTTTTCCAGAAGATTAAAGCTGAGCCGTGAAGAAAGTGTTAGTGAGAATTAAAAAGCAAGGCCAGAAAATTGATGTGTTACAAATAAAAAGAATAAAAACAAGCCCCCTCCATTGGACAGGAGAGTGACCAAATTCAAGCAGTGCTAAGACAGACCGATGTAGCAGAGTGACAGCGATTCAGGAATGAGGCACGAGACGACCTTTACCACGAAGTCATCAGAGAGCGCGGAGACAGTGCCTGTCCTCAGAGGTAGGCTTACACAGCCAGGCTTTGGGAGCTCCTGAGAAGCCGAAGCCAAGAAGAGACAGGCGGGGCACGAGAGGCTCTGGGATGCACCCGCAGGCAGGCAGGTGGGCGCCTGGCAGCGGCGGGCGGAGGAGCGGAGCGCCCTATGAGCACGAACTGCTGCCCGCGTCAAGCTCCACGACCGATGAAGCAACTGCGGAGCTGAGGAGGTCGCCCCAGCGCGCGGGCGCAAGCACTGGGACGGCTGGGTGTCCCGCTCCGGGAGGCCGGAGGGCTGCAGGACGGCAGGCGCGAGTCTCGGTCCGCGGAAGCGCAGGGCGCGGCCGGCCAGAGCGCGTACTGAGACTGCGCACTCCGCACTTTGCCGCGGGGAGCCCTGAGCCTCACGGCTTGTCTTGCAAGTCTGTCAACGTCGTATCTTCAATTCTTGCCCCTAGGTCCTGCTCCTATATTTTTCTTATGATACGGAGTAAAGAACTGCCCACCGCCTTGGGCACACAGCTGCCGCACTGCCCGCAGAAAAACCACCACCAGCAGTTCCTGCGTCTATGACCCCTGCATTAGCTCTGTTCTGTTCACTGCCTCGTTATACGAAATCTTCTCGCTTCTCCCAGAAAATAACTGCCAAGGTTCAGGCCTGGTTCCCCGTTTGCATAAAGCGCACTTAGCAGGCCTGGCAGAGGAGCGTAACTGCTGGCTGGCCGGAACGCGAGCCACCAGGCTGACATGCTCTATTTCTATTTAAAACAAATGTACTATCATTCGTAGAACGAATGCATATATGACGTCTGAAGTAGCCTGTGCTATTTTGCATCAAATAAGCACATCCAGGTCCCGGAACACAAACTGACAGACGTTAATCTAGTCCGCGCTTGCTTCCCTGAAGTGTGAACAGGTGTGGGTGGCATGAAGGAGCCCCGAAGAGCAATGAATTACACCACCCTCAGGGTAGTGTTCACGCACAACCCGCAGGAATCTGTGACATTTTTACACATGAATGTCAAGCGATCCTTAGGAGCATGTCACCTGCATAATAATTTGGCCAATAGAAGACCAGCACATAGCTCATTTTTAACATCAGAGCCTTATATTATGGTGGCAAATTGTAGTTAGCTATTAGGGTAACATGGTTTTAAATACCATTTGGAGAAAAGTCATTATGAAATCATTGGTGATTACCCAACTAGACCAACTTAAATGTTTTAACAAATAAAATTTAGGGTGAAAAAGACTAGTAGACATAAAGAAGGATGACAAAGTGACAAAAGGAATAACATACAAGCACATTATAATAGTCCTTGATGCATAGAAGAGTATAACCTGAAAATACATATAGTCAATTGACAAAATTACAAAAAAATTAATATAATTATATAAGAAATTGAGAATTCCTATAAACTGATATGTTAAATAGAATAAAAATTAGATTTGGGACCATTATTAACAAGCTTGATTTATGGGCACTTATACAACTCTATTCCCACAAGGAAAAAAGAAGACTTTTTTTTGACAAATTTATCTTAGAAAAAAATTTTTTTGTACTGAGGATCAAACTCAGGACTTGCACTTGCCAGGCAGGAGCCTATGCCACTGAGCTAGCTCCCCTGCCTACCTTAGATTTTTTTGACAAATCTACCTTAGATTTATCACTTGGCAAGTCAAGGAGAGAAGAATATAAAATTCTGTCCTTAAGCTTCTGGGAAACAGAAAAAGAAAAATGATTACTTACCACTGTAGGGGAGACCTAATCAATGCAATACAGCAGCCGAAGCAAAGCTATGGGTGAGAAGCACCTGTGCCACACGCGTCCTGACTTTAAATTGCACTGAAGTGGAAAATATCTCGGAAGGAAATAAGCACTGGCCAGGCTAGAGGAGAATCGTCGTAAGTCGGAGTGATCTCGCTGCCTCAGTGAAAACATTAGGTGTTCCTCACACATCCGGGAGAAACTTGGCAAATCATGCCTTCGCAGGGAGACGGCCCGCTGGCCTGCCCGCTCTGAGGCTGCCTCCTGGCGGCTGGTCCTCATGCAGGCTTACAGTCTCCACGCACCCAAGAGACCAAAGCTATAGGCACAGAGAATTCAGGTATGACTCACGGGGACAGCCATCCCCACCGCAGAGGACAAAACAGCAGAGGAAAGACATTTTAAGACATTCAGATTGGAACAATTTGAATACACATAAAAGAAGTGATGATCTTTGAGCCACACAGAGACAGAAAACCATTCCCGCCTTGGTGACCCACAGCGAAAGAATTGAGCAGATGAGGTGCAGCCTGACTGGAAACACCAGAACGCTGAAACATTTGAGATCTAGCGAGGAACTGGAAAGCGCTAAGTGTCTCTGAGACATGGATACAGGCAAAAGCACGGCATTTCTCTGACAGTAAGAGGAAGGAAGAAAAGATTTGAAGATTTCAGCTGAGCCAGGCCATACCAGAAATGGGCAGATATGAGTCACGGTTCAAGGAAGCAAATGCAATGAGAAGAAAAGGTGAAAAGGAAACAACCCAGCCAGCTTTCAGGCAATTCACACGTACAGGCAGAGGTGGGGCCAGGTCCTGCCCAGCTCGGTCAGTCACTGAAACCCCACCGGCCCCTCCTTAGGACACGTGGACACCTGGCACAGAGCAGGGGATCAATATTTGGCATTATTCATAATAAATAATTAAATAAATGTTAGCGCTTATTACTATCATTATTCATGTCAAACTTGAGTTGATGTACAATTAGAGGCATGTGAGAAGCCAGTGGGAAACACACATTGAAACAGTGAAAGAAAGGTCAAGGCTGGATAAGTATCTTCACCTCTCTCACCTGGCTGCCACTGACATAGCCAAGTTTTGTAAATCATCTTTTATACAGAAATTGGCGGGGGGGGGGGGGGTGGCCAAATAGCTCAGTGGACTAAAGTGACTGCTTAGGCTGACACAGCGTCAGGAGTTCGATCCCCCGCCTGCCATGCTGGCCCTGCCACCTAGGGTGTGCTGAGACAGTGATTGAGACTGGACATGGTAGCACACACCTGTAATCCCAGCTCTTGGTCTCATATGTAATGAGACCCTGTAGATCCTTACTAATAAAAAAAAAAAAGAAAGAAAAGAAAGAAAAAAAATTGTTGGAATGCTACCATTTCTGTCTCCTGCTTTTTTCTCCATGGTTCTATATTTTTAGGCCTCCAACAGGTATCTTCTCACAAGCAAAAAAAAAACAATCATATTATTTTTTCAAGAGAAAATTTTAAAACAAAAGAAGACATCTCATTTCCTATAGGAGAAAACACAAAGTGTTGAAAATAGTATAGTATGTACATTGCTATAATGTTTTTGAGTCAACAACATCTAAATTTCAAATTTTGCCCCACTGTTATAAATGCATGCCTAGGTGCACAGTAGGTGTTAACGATGTGTCC